TACGAGCTAGACTGTGTTTCTTTTAAAACGATAAAGGAAAAAAAAGAAGAACAAGAAAAAAAAAAAAAAAAAAAACTCGGCTGTTGCGGGTCCCGACCCATCACCATGCCCGAGGTGTCGAAGATGAAGAAGCCCGACGTGAAGGTAGTTCTCCTGGGAGACATGAACGTGGGGAAGACGTCGCTGCTCCACAGGTACACGGAGAGGAAGTTCAAAGACACCATCAGCACCGTCGGAGGGGCGTTTTTCCTCAAACAGTGGGGACCTTACAACATCTCAATATGGGACACAGCTGGTAATACCTCCTCCATGTTATTTCACACTGTTTTAGTTTAAACTCAAGTCTTATTCTTCCCATGTATTTAATGTATTTACCTGATAACGCGTGATCCCACCACCTGAGGCAATCACTGGCATGTGACCGCTCAGTCTCTACACAGGCTGCCTTCTGCAAACCTGCCTCTGCTAGTGTGTGTGTGTGTGTTATGGTCAGTAGAAAACAGACAGAAAAGACAGATTAAGTTCTCAGTTCCACTGCTGAAACGAATAATAATAATAACATGTGCTATAAAGCCTAGCACAATTAAAACAGTTCAGGTCAGGGCAGGATAAAAACAACCTGATAATCCAACACAATCAGGGGGATACAGCCCTTAAAACAACTTCAAAACAATCTCCAGATCTATGTCACACACCTTTTTAATAAATAAATGATACCAGGATCCCTTAGGCTGCCTGGTTTAATTACTCATTAGATTTTAAGGGAAGGGCCTCTTAAATAAATAGTACAGCTGGTGGTCACAGCAAAAATAAACAAAAATCAAAACTAAAATAATACAAGATGCAAAAAAACAAATACACAAAAAACATTTGATTTGTTTCAATATATACTGTATATATGTATGTGTGTATATATGTATATGTATTATTTAAAAAAAACAATGAATAATTTAGTTTCCGTCAACTGCTCAGACAAGACATACATTTGTAATTTGTAATAAAAAATATGTTGAATAAAGTAAAAGTTCCTTAACTGGAAAGTGATAGATTTATTATATATTAATATTATTTATTATTATATATATGATTGTTTCAGTTTCAGTTGGTTGAGCTGTTAAAATAAACCATAATTAACCATTCACCATGCAACCAACTGCTTCATTAACAATCACCTTTATGTTATTGTGACTGTAATACTTTTTTTAAAATATACATTTTGCTGCATATAAGTCAGGTTTCCTGCTTGCTGAACATATGCAGATGTTATAAAATCACTGTGTGCTTTATTATATTGCTCAATATTGGACTAATCTTACCTAATCAAAGCCATTGTCATCTGCACGTACAGAGTACTTTTAACATACTTTTGAAATCTAAGAACAGCTGCCTGAGATAAAGTCTTCAGAAATAACATCCACTGCTTAAGTTTTGATCAAAAATAAGTTAATTTAACTACTAATTCTGTTTTTGTTTATGTGTTTACTGTAGAAAGGGACTAAAAAAATAAATCATCAATTGGTTCAGATTGAATTTCTGTTGGATAACTAATTTGATTATTGACTAATTGTTTAAGCACAACATGAGACTATTATTTGGTAACACAAAGAGCAGTCTGTATTCTCTGTACCTGGTCACACCCTTTTGTAGTAAATTAAGTGTACTTGAAAATAAAAGCACAGATTCTACTAGTGAGTGTGAAACCCTCAGTGGTGAAGAAGAGCAGTCAATGGCCTAACTGGTGGTAGATCTTCAGTTAACAGTTGGATTTTTTGTCATTTATTTAGACATGTTCCATGTAGCCAATTGCACATCAGTAGTTAGAATAATATTAATTTGTTATGCACAGAACCAGTCTGTAATTTACTGTAACACTGAATACACATACAAACTCGTGCTTTCTAGTAAGAAATTAACCCCCCAAGGATCACAAGAACCCCAATGACTTAACATTCATTTCCCTTTAAATGATCTTACGTGGCTCTGGCAATTTCCAGTTATTGCTGATAAATAAGTGTATAACTCCATTTGATTCCAGTATTGTGTAAACATGAATTACAGTCAACCCTCTTAGGCAAATACATACTTCACAAAAGTAGAGTTAGTGTGCCACAGAGATAAGGAAAGGCCTGTAGTGTCACCAGTAAGTCATTTCCTGTGCATGTTCTCCAACTACATGACCTCTGACAGGAGGCTGTTGCGTTCGTTTTATTTAGTCATTGTGGTAGAGAAATGCTGTATCAGCGCTGAGTGATTTCAAGGCTACTGTTGCAAACCTATCAGCACAGACCATAAAGCTTTGGAAGAGTGGCAGTTCTAGGGGTTGTCCTAAACTCTGTCGGATGTTTGGCTCAGCACATTGAAAAAAGGTCTGTCTGCTGCTTGTTTTCCCACAGATAATGCCCTTTTCAGTCGGACAGTTGAGTTTCAAAGCCCCATGAAGGCGTTTAAGCTCCCTACCCTGTTCCTCTTAATAGTCCCATGACAGGACTATGACAGGAAGACTTGACTCCGAATGCTTTAACCTGACTTTTCCAAGCTTGCGTGCAATAGTACTTTCCAGAACCAGAAGGAGGGCAGACTCGGGGTTTTTTTTTGTTTGTTTTTCACTTCAGCTGGTAGTGTGTAAAAAAATAAATATTCCTGCTTTAGATCTTCTGATATTCTGATGTAATGCAGGAGATATCTGTGATGAATCAGAGCAAAAAATACAATACATTTGAGTAGCATAATAGTTAATAGTTAATTAGTTGAGTTAACAACAGGACATCCTAAACATCAATCTGGAACCAAATCCTCTGGTTGCTCTGTTTGGAGGAATGTTGCTCTGCCCACTCATGATTGACAGACATCATGTCCTGCTTAAAACCTGAGAAAATCACATACTCACTTCAACTTTCAAGTGGGAAATTCCAGGAAGCCCAGGGGCCTTAAGAACATTATACTGGTATATATACTTTAATTCATTTACCTCAAGCTTTGAGTGTGGCAGGCAAGTATCAGAATATATAGCTCGCTGGAAGTGACTGGGGAGGGATTTTTATTGTTAACATAAATATACAGTGTATATATCTTTTTGTTCTGTTTTGTGTTCATTGATGCTTTGTTTACATGTCGGCATTAGTACCAGCTGCTGTCATTTTATATCCATTCTTATGTATAAGATACCAGCACTGCACTTCTGTTATAGTCTTAGTTATAAAACCACAACTAAATTATAACCTGCCTGAAGGAAGGATTTATTGCATTAGACTGCATTAGTTATAGCTATCTAATAAATTGGCTACTGAGTGTGCTTTGGGATACAATTATAGCTAAAACAATTTGTCAATAAATCAATTAGTTTATTCACTAATTTTTCACTGTCTTTTTCACTGTTTTTCTTCCATATATAATAGTCAACTCAATATCTTTGGGTTTTGGTGCGATAAAACAAGGAATTTGTGTACAAAGATATGTACAAATCTACAGAACAATTTATCTGTTATTCGAGTACATAATCATAGCTAGTTGTACCTAATGGTATAATATAACCAAGAGATGCTGCCAGAGGCAAAGTATTCACCAACAATGTGCCCTTTCAAGAATCCTGCATATTTCAGCAACAAAGGTTGTTTCTGTTTTCAAAGTGCACCTAACTTGCAGAACTACTCTGTGCCCCTCATGCAGTTTGCTGTTTTTGAACTGATCTGTCTTTTAAAGTTTAGTGTTTAGTCAAGTTGAGTTGACCTGTCTGTGTCTCCTCAGGCCGCGAACAGTTCCACGGGTTGGGTTCAATGTACTGTCGAGGTGCAGCCGCTGTCATCCTCACGTACGACGTCACCAACTGGCAGAGCCTAGCTGAGCTGGAGGAGCGCTTCCTGTCCCTGACTGATACTGCCAACCATGACTGCATTTACGCTGTAGTGGGCAACAAGGCTGATCTCACAGACCCTAATGCCCAGCTGTATCAGGACTCCAATGTGGCACCTGAGGACCAAACTGAGTGTGAGGAGGAGAGGCCAGAACCACAGGTGCTGTCTGCTTGCCCCACACCCCCGGCCTCCCCTGCATCCCTCTCTGGGTCGGTGCTGCACAAACAGGTCGCCCCTGAGGATGCAGTGGCTTTTTATGGGAGAATACTGCGCTACAAGGGCCTGGACGAGAAGAGCAGCCTGCCGGCAGAGAAGATGTGCTTCGAGACGAGTGCCAAGACAGGCTACAATGTGGACACTCTGTTTGAGGCGCTGTTTGATCTGGTGCTGCCTTCCATCCTGAGGAAGAGAAATGAGAACCAGGAGTCTCCTACAGTGGACCTGGAGGAGTGCAGGGGGGCCAGCAACAAGCGGGCCAGATCTTCTTGCTGCTAGGACCTGGAAGGTGGAGAGGCTGCTCCATGTAGAGACTTGTTTTTAACTATGGACAATCAACAGGTTGGTCTGCACACCAAATACATACTGTGATGGTACTACTTACTTGCCTTGACTGAGACCTAAAAACATCAATGACCTCTGTAACTCACTCACTCACTCACTCACACACTAAACACAAAAACAGACTCTTGATTCTGTGAAGACAGTCAGAAAAAGCAACCAACGTTCACAGTGTCCAGTGACATTTGAATTATTTCTTTGTATGGAAAGGAAACAAATGGGTGTTATGTTATCACGACTGAAACTGCACTTATGCCATAAATGTGTCTGAGGACAAATAATACACATAAGAAGTCAATCTCTGCTATTTGTTTATGTTTTAGAAAGACGATGTCACGGATTTAACAGCACTAATTGTTAGGTGGTGGCACTGTATATTTCATAAATCACACTTCTTCTTCTCCTTTATGCTCTGTTACTAGCGTTGTTTATATTTTTACTGGCACATTTGGAAGCTTTCAATGACTGTAAATAGTAAATACCCCTGTTGAAGTTTTAAGTACGCTGTCATAATAAAGATTTTTATTTTGCTGTCTGTCTCCTCTTTCAGTTAAAGATAAGCTCTTGAGGGTAAAATGACACAGTCACAAATATAACAAACAACATTTAATCTTTACAATCCAATGAAATGATCATGTTATGAAAATTACCATTATATTACAATTAAAACAAATGTTGTCGGTACATTTCCGGTCTAATCAAACTGTTTATTTCCAAACAAATGTATGTAGGTGAAGTAGAACATTTGACCTACTTTATAAACTGTGTAAAATACTCAAATCTAACCCAGGATCAGTGACCATAACAAGGATTTGCTACAGTGAGACCTTTGATCCAAGCTGTTTGTATTCTGTCCTGTTGGCAACGTGGGGCTGATCAATAATTAGTAGATTTGTAAATAGAAATGAGTGTGACATGAGTAGCGTTAGATAAGATATATATTTAAACTCTTAAGGATGGGGGGGTCAAGTTCATTCAGCTGATATAAATACAAAAAGAATCAGTGCATTGTGCGAACATATGGCGTATGAAAAGTAAGAAGCTGATTTTTTTACAATAGTTGATAAATGCATAGAACAGATTGAAAAGACAGTCTTATAAAAATAGGTTTTGTAAGAGCAATGAAATACTGTCAATAGTATCAACCAACAATTGTTCAAGACCTCTAATGACACATTCTTCAGTTGGCTTGGAAGCAGTGTTAGTGGCTTTATGGTGGGCTGTATACCCTAAACAATAAACACATCTAGATAAACTGAAGCAGTGCATACACACGGGCATCTTTGGTTCAGCTGTAGTATACGGTCTCAGATCATTAATGTGTCATAGTAGCTGAGGTAATAAGTTAACAGTAAGCACCAATCCACATTTAACACAAAATACTTGTTTTCCCATAATGCTGTTGACCTCATTATGGGGCTTCTCCTGTTTTATCTACAGTGGGACATTTCACTCTAAAGCTCATGGCGTCGCACAGTCATTGCATATCTGAGCCCTGTGGCTCGGGGAGACTGCTTCCCATTTACATCAATCTAAATCGGTATTTCAGATCCCCTTCTGTGTGGTTTAGTACGTAGATAGAGAAACGATGCTAGATCACTGCCAATGGAACAGCTTCTTTGTTACTGTAGTCTTTCACAAGTTCTTCATGCAGACCTGGCAGCGGCTGATGCGTGACAGGAGCTGGCCTGCTTTGAGTGTCTCTGATGCCGGGTCAGGGTGGAACGACTGATCTATGGAGGTTAGCCAGAAGCTGTGCTTGTTAGCAAAGTAGTGGCATGTGCCTTTGGCCCCGTTACACTCAATGAATGGTGTTGTGCGGAAGTCCTCCAGGCAGGAGCCGGGCGATGACAAGGACTGACCTCCACCTTCATTCCCTGCTGCTGTATGCTGTGGAGACAAAGGTGACAGGAGGGGAAAATGAGGCAGGTGTGAAGTCAAATGTACACTGAAGTATTTGTATGAGTACAAAACCAACAATGAATTAATCTACTGAAAAGTATCGCCTCAGTAGCCACAGCCTGACCTTGCTTATTCATTTCCCATTAAAAACACATCAGTGAGTTATATTGTTGTATTATGTGACGTGTTTCTTACATTGAACATAAGCGCCGTAGTTAACTTTGAATAATACATCCTCCTCCTGCCATAAATACTCACTAGCTGCAGCTGAAAATAATTCCCAACAAATACATTATGAGACCCTCCCTGTCTGGTCAACACCCACCTCTCTCAGTCTCCACATTCCCAGTTTATAACGGAGGCTTTCTGTTATAAATCTGTAGTCTACCATCCAAGATTTTTTCCCAAAGCTGCTCCAGAGCCACAGAACACATTATAGAATTGTTTTGGACTGAGGATTACTGCCCATGAGTATTAGTTAGTTACCATTTAATGATAAGAGACATTAGCACTAACACTATAATTAGTATGTCTTGTAATGGTGGTTGTATCAAGGGCTCACAATTAACAGTGAAATTATGAAGATGCATCCCGATCTTTTAATTTTACACATATTTGTCTGGAAGGAGGACCAGAACCCACCATGAGATAGGAGTAGCCGATCCACAGGCTGCGCCAACCCGCGGGACACTGTGGGATGGTGATGTCCTGGCTGTGGACTGCGATGGCCACTGATGGAGCTTCGCATACTGAGCAGCGACTGATATACGGTTTGATGTCTTCCTCTTCCACAGGCATCATAGGCAGAGGAGCAGTCGTTGACAACCAGTAGGACTTATCATTTCTGCTGGCGTAGTAACAAATGTCTCCAGGATTGCAGTACAGGAAGGGCATGGTGCTGAACCGCGGGAGGCAGGAGCCAGCCAAACCTAAACAGGACAAACAACCAAATCATACTTTTAAAACTTAATTTAAAGTTCTTTAATGCAATGAATAAATTACATTACATAAGATGTACATAATAACGCATTTAAAACTGATTTTAAAAGTTGAAAACAGAAGAGTAGGTTGGATTCTAGTCCAAGATCTTAATATGTATTTGAATGCAATGGAGAACCTAACATTGCTTTAAAGTGGACCTAGTCGACACTGTGACTGTATCACAGCTGCCAGCTACGGGATAATGGTAAATGCTGTATAAAATGTAGTGTAACAGTAGCGCAAGTAGATAAGAAAAATAAAGTCAAAGTGATTCAGACACATGTTTTATCCAACAACCAGCCAGTTTACCACCATGAGCTACTGGATCATATTAGACCAAGTAAAGCTGTAGCAGCAAACCCTGTATTTAACTTCACCAATTCAACCTTCAATTTCTAATTGAAGGAATCTGTTATTTCTTTATCAAAAGTTATATTATTTTTGTTGGATAGGTGGTAAAAATTCGAGCAAGTATTTTATCCTCTGGAAATTAGTTCCAGCTATGTGCGCTGTAAAAAGTTTTGTTGGAAAGTTTTCCACTCTGTAGAGTTTCACCGTGGCTAAATCAGTACTGAGATGAGAGTGGGGATGAATTTTTGCCTGATTCATTTTCTGGCTTTAGAGTTTCTCATATTTAGTGAAAGATGGTCCAACGTAATGAGGAATTCTCTCTCCAGCTATATTCTGCCTCTTATGTATAGTTCATTCATTTAGAGACACAATCCTCTTACATTGATTCTAAGTCAATATAAGTCAGTGTTAAATGCAGGCTTGAACTCAATAGATGTTGTGGATGGGAGCACAAGCTGTGAAAAGGAATATATCACAACTGAGAGCACTGATAGTACTGCCTCAATGCACAAGAGATGGCTGTGAGATAATTTAATGAAATACAAGTCTGTCCTCTTCTGTAGTCAATAAAGCCTATTCTCCCTCTCCTTTTCAGCCCCATCATGCCAATGTAGCTCTACTCAAAATGTGAAATTAAGGACACTTGCTGGTTTAAATGCCCCCAAATCAAACTCAAGCCCGACCTCTATGGAATGTCTTCTGGTTCATTGGATCACAATGTCAGCAATTTAATGCGGGAATGTTCGCCTGACCATCAATGCGTTCAGACACGACTGTACTGTAACAACCTCACACTGGCAGACCTCCAAGGTAAACTATTATGAAAATCCATGTAACAAAATTGTACCCTACAGAATACACAAAGGTCCCTAAGAACATTAACATACCGTAGAACAATATTATAGTTCACACTGACTTACCCAGATCCTGGTTGTGGGCCTTTTCCTGGCCCTCAAAGTACAGCAGACTGTAGCCGTCCCACAGTTTAGACATGCCCACAGGACACATGGGCGTCTGTTCTGCCTGACTGTGTTTTACCAGCAAGTAACCCACGCTGACGCTGCGGCCAGGCATACCAGGTAACCCAGGGATACCAGGGGTGCCACGGTGACCTATTGAGGGATGAGAAGTTTAGAACTATGTACATACACATACTGTATACACTTGATATATCACTGTAAACTTTACTAATACAAGTATATTGGAATTTAGGATACCTTCATTCATGTGGCCTAATGCTTTCTTAACTCCCCTCAAGCCCTGACACCATCTCTGCTAACATAATTACATAATAATACAAATAGACCTCTAGTCCCCAGCTCAGTGCTAATCATTTTCAGTTCAATGCTTATTCATTCACTAAACCGACTTTCACAAAAAAAATAACAATCAAAAACCTCTTGGTAACTGGTTCCCTGCTTAAATCTCCACCTACTTTAAATCCTTTAATCCAGGCTTATTAACCTAATCCTAACACTGCCCCACGGCGTCAGACACACCTTCCATGCCTTGCAGACCGGGGTGGCCCATTTGTCCATTATCGCCACGAAATCCAGGCGTCCCTGGGGTACCACCAATCCCAGGCATGCCCTTCTGCCCAATGGGCCCCATGAAACCTGTACAGTAAGAGGATACACGTTGTTACACATGTTGCTGAGCTGGACATTTCTCCAACAACAAACGCATTATTAGAATAACTAACCTGTATCCCCAGGCGGGCCCTGTGGCCCTAGTACCCCTTTGCTCCCCTTTGGTCCTTGGATACCCTGCGGTCCTGAAGGGCCCCTCTCCCCTGGAATTCTGACGGGAATAGGAGGAGAACCCTTGTTGCCTGGTAATCCACGAACACCTGATAGCGTAATGATGAAGACAAAAAAACACAAAAGCATATATCTGGCAACTAGTAAGCAGTTGGTACAATTTGTCAAAGTGCAAAGTTTACCTGGGAGTCCAGTATCTCCTTTTGGACCACTTGGCCCTCTTTCCCCCCTTTCTCCAGTCGCACCAGGAAATCCCATCAACCCTTGCTCTCCTTTCACTCCTGTAAGAAGAAAATAGCATATATATTTGTACAAGACCGTACACAGAATGTAGCTGGTGATCATATTATCAGACTGTATGGGCCTGCAGACAGGTGAATTCAGGGGATTTTACAGGCCCGGACACAGCAGAAATCAGTAGAAGATGAAATCAAAATGATTAATTCACAAAATAGATACAATTATGTGTATCATGTCCTGTTTGTCCTGCACTAAGACCTCACCTTGGCAAGAACCTAGTAAAGTTTGTTGTAATCGCAGCAATGTTAAAAAACATTAACATTAACTGAGTGACCGAACTGCCAGTAACAGGTCTGTGTTAAAATGTCTGCAGCAATAAGTGATATATTCTTATTAAGTATCATAAGAGTATATTGTCATATTGCTCCCAAATAATGTATCTGAAGAGACCAAATCACAATATATTTTGTATTGATTATTTGTTCCAATTGTAAATAATCATATCACATATTGTTCAAAATGACCTTGAAGTATGACATCCATGACCTGACACAACATTGAAAGTTTAACTAACCTTGAGACCTATATTGCAAAAATGTGACAGGTGGTACTGCAGTAATTTGAACACAAGCTCCCATTAAAGGCTTATCCTTGAAACAAATCAATACTTCATGCTTACCTTTCTTCCCAGAAACTCCATTTGGTCCCCTGTATCCAAATGCACCTTGATCTCCTTTGAATCCTTTCCAACCAGGGTGACCAGGAAACCCATTTATTCCTGGTACACCCTTTTCTCCAGGGGGAGCATCCACACCAGGAAATCCGTTGACTCCAGGGGAACCTGAGAGACAGATCATTTATGGTTAATCCATATAGTTAACAGTGAACAAGGATTCCTCAGCATCCAAACAAGCCTCAAGTGACACTTCTGTCAGACTCAGTGCATCAATCTGCTACAAAGATAATAAAATCTGACTGGCTTCAGCAATAATAGCTCTTCAAAATCAAATGAATAGTTATTACTCTCACCTCTAGCAAGATTTAAAAGCTGAAATTGTACTTTCCTCTATTACTACTACAGTCACTGTCCGTTATACCAATATATAGTTACAACTGATAACGTTGAGACTACTACAGCTAACTACTGTCACAACTACAGCCATTACTGCTGCTGAGAGGTATCAACTCAGGATGATCAATAAACATACACATTAAATGTGTGGGGGTGTCCTGGTGCCTTAGTTAGGATATGATACATATAACCATAATGTTTGATTTTAGCATGTTATAACCTTCTCAGTTGGGCCACATTCCTGTCTGTATATCTAATAATAATAAAAAAACAATCTTTTAAAATATAGGAATCACTATATCTAGTGAAACATCCTTTATTATAGTGTATAGGGAGCAGTGAATACGTGAACAAAGGAGTGATTTGACAGCCACAGTGTAAATAGTGTACTCATTAATTCGAGACAGGGGGAGTGAAATATGGCATTGTTTATTTTAGCAATGGCTTTCTTTGATCAAACTCTATCTTCCCACCTTGGTACCCTTTAGGTCCTTTAAAGCCAGGATCTCCAAGGGGTCCTGATCTATCTGAGGTCGCGCTTGGTCCTTCGGGGCCACGGAATCCTGGAGGTCCAGGATGACCATGGTCACCTGAACAAGTGAAACATGCTTAAGATGGTTAAACCACATTACAGGATGCACATTATCTGTCACTGTGCATTGTTTTATTGAGAGCTCAGCAAGTTTCTAAGCTGGCCTCATTAATGCAGAAGAGTAATGGCTAACCTAGAGGTCCTTGGAAGCCTTTCAAACCCGGTGTGCCTGGAACACCTGGTTGATTGTTGGGGTCTCCGCCCTCTCCCTTCTCTCCTTTGGGCCCAGGTTCCCCAGCTGGTCCAGTGACATCCAGACCTGATAAAGAATATGAACATGTGTCTTTACATTACAGAAAAACTGAGACATGGTTTCTACTCCACAAACACAGGACTTAGTAAAGAATTAAGAAATATACCTTGAGGGACTTCGGCCATTTTACCAAACAGCTGAGTCACTGCTGTAAAGCCCCTGAATGCATGACTTAAGTATTTATCTAACACTAAATATACATGACTAAATAAGCAACAAGAAAGTTAAAAAACAATTTCTTAAGAGTTGACAGTTTAACATTTGATTGACAGTGACCAAACAACCCACCAACTCTCATCAGTTTCAAATTCAAATGTTGCTAAACCCTGATTGGTGCAGCTAAGTCTGTGATGTCACATTTTCTAACTAAGCTCCACCCACTTCAAACCAGAGAGTGGTTTGAACAGAGAGTGGTTTGAAGTACAGATCTAACTTGTAGTAACTCTCACAAATTGTTACTCTAACTAATTGTTGCCTTTAAGCTGTAAATATATGAAAGTATACTAATGTTCATTCTTTACATTACACTGATTGTAAAGTGCTCCCCATGCCATTGTAAAGTCATCTAAAAAACATTAAAGGAGGTCACAGGTCACCGCCTATGCCTCTTCCTGGTCATTTTGGCTTCCTCTCTCTCTTCCTCTATGGCTGACTAGACAAGAGCAGCTGATAAGGTTGAACACCGAGCACCCAACATATTGTAGTTCCACTTTGTTACAGGAGACCAAGGTTGAGAGATAAATCTAACAGACAGAACGTAACTATACTTGTGTCATTCAGTGTGACTTGATAGTAACCAATAGTATGCTCACATGTGTACAGGGATAAGATATGGGAAGATTGTCTAGGGAATACGGTGTAGGTTACTGTATATATCCCTCATCCAAGGACAGCCTTCAGAATTGGGTTGGTAATGCTAATCTTATTGTCTCTGACCGAGCCTAAATAAATTCAGCTGTGTAAGTCATCAAGGTTCCCTGAAAACTTCTTAGAGTACAAGTTATCAGATCACAAAAAGTACACAGAATTCTTGAAATGTGGTTGAATACCTGCGTTTCCTGGGAGTCCCTTATGTCCCTTTAGTCCATGTAATCCGTAAAGACCCTTCGGGCCAGGAAAACCTGCACACATTTGCATAGATTAAATGGAGGAATATGGTGGACAACGTATGAGGTTTAATGATAAAGAAAAAGAGGGCACAGGTTTGATCACGTTACCTCTGTTTCCAGGGAAGCCAGGAAAGCCTGGGTGCCCTGTTTTTCCAGGAATTCCAGGAAAGCCTTTTTGACCTTGGTTACCAGGAGTTCCCTGCTGCCCTCCTGAGCCTGCAGAAAACAAACATGGTGTTTGTACGAGTCAGAGCAGTTGTAATGTAATTCTGCTACGATGTCTAGTAGTAACAGTTAAAATAAAATTACATACTATAAGTTGACGGTGTGGAAAAAGGAAGTGGATAGGAGAGTCTCTTACCTGGGGATCCCAATATTCCAGGATTACCTGGTTCTCCCCTTTTCCCTTCGATGCCATCAACACCAGGTGTACCCCTGTCCCCAGTTTGTCCAAATAATCCTTTCTCGCCTGTAAAGAGGGTATTAAACATTTCATATCAATCAAGAATAAGCCTTTAATTGTTAGAGAGAAGTAATAAAAGCTGCATGAACTACAGTTGGTACCTGGTACTCCTGGAAAACCATCCTCTCCTCTCAATCCAGTAGCTCCTGGAAGGTCTATACGAGTGCCCTTCTCACCTGTGATAGTATTAAAAATGTATTTGTTACAATATTTTCATCACAGTCACTTTATTAATAATATCCCCATCTGTCTGCACTTTTAATTAGAGGTTGTACCTTTGCCTCCTTTCTTTCCTTTGTCTCCTGATGCGCCATAGGCCCCAGGGCTTCCTTTAAGTCCCTGAAAAAAGCAATTAACAAAAATTAGAGTATATCACATAAGAGTGGGATGTTGCAATGTATTATATAGGTATATATGTATATATAAAATGAAATAAAAAATATTAGGTGTCTGCACTTAATGGTCGTTAATTTTGACAGGCTGACAGGCTTTATGCATCACTGCCTGCATGTCTGTGTGTGCGTGTGTGTGTTAATATACATATATGTATATATACATATATACGGTTTTATAAAATGACACAAATGGCATGGTGACAGAGTGCAGAAATTGGAATTAGAAGACTTAGAAGGGTATTCCATGGACTGAATATAGTGAAGACAAACAGCTCGATCGCACCCTGGTTGCAGTACAGTTCATAAAGTACACTTCATATCCTTTTAGCCCGGATCACTGGATCCTGCATTTTCCATATTGCAACCAAGTGGCAACATGCGTGGCTGGCAAATGGAAGTACTTCATGGAAAGACTGCAGTTTTTCCTACGGCCACTTGTGGTTGGCTACAGAATTGAGTAAATATCCAAATGGTTCCATATTAAGATGCCCAACTTGACAGCAGAAATAAACGAGGCGAGGATAAGCCAGGAGCCGGTGGAGTCGGGACTCTTCAGAAACCAGTGGGTGACGTCATAGAAACTATGTCCCTTTATTATTCCCAGGGTGCTTAAAACCTGTGCCCCCCAGCTGTGTGGAGTACTCAGTCAAGTATTCAGCCTGAGCCTGCACCTCCAGAGGGTCCCTGTGCAGTGGAATACGTCCTGCCTCGTTCCTGTGACAAAGACGCCGCCTCCCAGCGTCCCTCAGGACTACAGACCGATGGCCCTGACGTCCCACATCATGAAGGCCCTGGAGAGGCTCGTCCTGGAGCAGCTAAGGCCTATGGTCAGGCCCTTCACTGATCCACTACAGTTCGCCTACCAGCCCCGCCTGGGAGTTGAGGACGGCATCATCTACCTGCTGAACAGAGTCTACACTCATCTGGATAAGCCAGCGAGCCCTGTGAGAGTCATGTCCTTTGACTTCTCCAGTGCTTTCAACACCATCCGTCGGGCTCTACTGGGTGAGAAGATGGCTGCGATGCAGGTGGAGGCCCTCATCGTGTCCTGGATTGTTGATTACCTGATGGGCAGACCACAGTAGGTACGCCTACAGAACTGTGTGTCTGACAGGGTGGTCAGCAACACTGGGGCCCCACAGGGGACTGTCCTCTCTCCCTTCCTCTTCACCCTCTTCACCTCAGACTTCAACTATTGCACTGAGTCTTGCCACCTTCAGAAGTTTTCTGATGACTCAGCAATAGTCGGCTGCATTGTCACACACCCTCTTTACGACACACTGGCCCAGCAGAGGAGCACCTTCAGCAGAAGACTCACCCAGATGCACCACAGAGCGCCACAGGAAATCATTTCTGCCTGTGGTCATTAAACTCTATAACGCCTCCCTAAGAGAGTCAGACACCCCCCTTCTGTAATCTGACTCAAACACAAACATTTTTTGCACTTTTTGCACATTATTGAACTGTACTTTTGATCTTTTATATATATATATAGTTATATATATATATATTTATATTTTGTTCTTAATAGATGTTGCTTGTATAATATATGTTGTTTGTATATCTGGAGTTTGTAACAAAAATAATTTCCCCCTGGGATTATTAAAGTATTTCTGATTCTGATTCTGATTATTATACAGTCTATGTTTACAACTTGATAGCATATTTGATATAGCAGACTTTCACTGCTTTCAAACTGACACCCCCAGTTTGTAATTCAGGCTTTCTTTGTAAAAAAATTTAACCTGCAATAACCAATTTTTTGGCCACTTGGAGGCAGCGAAAACAAGCTGCAACACAACACTGATAGCACTGGTCACCTATTAAATTGATGTGGCAAACATGTAAGCAGAAAACTGCCTATTCACACATCCAGCATATACAAAGCAACATTAGCATCCATGTGAAGTCATGTGTCTGGCCACTTTTTAAAGCTCTGTTTTGGGCTCTGCTAACTAGATGGAAACAATTGTATGAAAGCGTTCAGTGAAGCAAAACAGTAAATCTGTGGTTTGTAAAACTGAAACAAGTATAGAGTGGAGGGAAACTGAAGAGTCCGGTAATAATTCTCACTACAAACAACAAGTATGGTTTTGCTCACCTTGTTGCCAGACATTCCCATAAAACCAGTAATTCCTCGATTTCCAGTTAAGCCTGGCATTCCTTTAATCCCTGGCAGCCCTTGTGCACCTGAGTCTCCGTGGTAACCTTTCACATTGCTGGGGTCTCCAGGAAGACCATGAGTTCCCTCGAAGCCCGGTATACCAGGTAAACCCTTAGTACCTGTGAAAAAGAGTAGGATGTGAGGAAGTGAAGCCTGAGAGGACAGAAGAAGGACAGAGTGAATGATATCCGATGTGGCTCCACACCTCTCGGCCCGGTGAAACCTGGATTCCCTGGATCTCCAACGTCTCCCTTGTCTCCCTTCATGACAGCAATCACCTGCGGATGGATGTAAGGCTTAGCCCCGGGCTTTCCCTCCAAACCACGTTCACCTGGCAGACAATCATGGTTATAAGAGAGTGGTAAGTTATGTGGTAGAGTTTATATTGGTAGTCTCAACAGAACACATCACACATAACACCCACTTATATAACACTATATCAGCATGCAGAATCGTCTCACCTTTCTCTCCACTTTGACCTTTCACTCCTTTTGGACCAAGATGGCCTATCACTCCAGGATCTCCTGTCAGTCCACTGAAGCCCTTCACCCCTGGATCACCCCTAAATCCCTTGAAACCTGACATACCGGGAGACCCTTTGTATCCTGGGAAAGAGAGGGACCATCAGAAGCTTTTCTGACCAAAACTGACTATAGCACACATTACCTAGATCTTATATTATTTGCTGTTTAATTTTACTCTATATTCTTTAAGGAATTGATTATCAAAGTAAATATCAGAGGAACAAACCTTTCATTCCTGGAACTCCTGGGCGCCCATCTGTACCAGGCTGTCCTGGGTCACCTGGTGGGCCATACTCTCCAATGGCACCATCAGCACCGTATGTCCCTGGGATGCCTTTTAATCCTATTGGACCTGGAGGGCCCGGGTCTCCTTCAGTTCCCCTCTCTCCAGTGAATCCTGGTGAGCAGGATGACGTGCCAAAAGGAAAAACTTGTCAGACATTACCAAAGACATTTCTGAGAGGCAGTGTGTCGATGTGTATGTTTGTCTAACCTGACTGTCCAGTAGCACCACGTGACCCAGGTGGACCTGCTTTGCCAGGATCACCGGGGTAGCCATATTTTCCTGCTGGCCCAGGCCTCCCTTCCTCACCCTGCAGGCCTAAAGGGCCAGTCTCACCCTTGAAGCCGATCATACCAGGCATGCCGCCCATTCCTGGAGGAATGGATAATTAAGGAAATAGGTCTTAAAACTTTATTCTTTCAAATGACCCCACTGATGCTGAAAGTAAAGCAGCAAGGCAAAGCAAGACTGAATAACAGGTAGGATAAATAAACTGTTTGAGTAGAAATAAGTAGCAAGGCTTACCCGGATAGCCAGGCTCTCCTGGATCACCAGCCTGGCCTTTATTCCCTTGATGTCCAGGCAGACCCGGGTCACCAGAGGATCCTGCAGATGCTCCGAAGATCTCTCCGTGAACACCCTTCTCACCTTGGGCCCCGTAGCGGCCAGGCACACCCGGCAATCCAGGGATTCCTACTGAACCTTTCCTACCAGGAATTCCCAAGTCTCCACGTTGACCGGCAAAACCTGTATTTGAATTAATAATTAATTAGTAAAAGAAAATTATCTTGACAACTGACTCAATTCAAAGATCAGATGTGATTAATCCTATCTGACTATTGCCCAATAAGTTTGTCATGTCACGTCTTACCTGGTGGTCCAGTGCGGCCACCTATGCCTTGATTTCCTGTTTCTCCTTTCTCTCCCAGTGCTCCAAGTGGACCCTGTAGTCCTTCTTGGCCTGGAGGACCTGTTGGTTCACAAATTATAATTATCAAAAATGACTCAAACCAGGTATCCTGCAGGCAACATTCAGCACTAGTTTCTTGTTGCGTTACCTGGGGAACCCGGCGATCCACTGGCTCCTGGAAGTCCAGGCAAACCTGGAGGTCCTGGAATAGCATCGCAAGGACCTGAGAAAACAAATACCACAGTCTTTAGGGCAACATCATGGTTGTATGTAAAACTGTTCATGTGGCAATGACTATTTTGGTGATTTTTGTCTGCTGCCCAGCGTGGATTGTTTATCAGAACATGACTTTATCATTACATTAGCTGGTATCTCAGTTCACTAAATCTAAAACTGTAAATCATCATGCACACAAGTCAAATAATCCAGAAGCAAAGCACAACAGAGTTGTTATGAAGGGAGCAATAACGGGAAAACGTTGTTATACCAGCTACCTGTTACATCCCACTGTCCTCCAAGTCCTGTTGTACTACAGCCTCCTTTCAGTTGCAAATGAGAGAGAATGAAAAAGAGGCATTCGGAACAAGAGTTATTCAAAAGCACAAGCATTATCTCAAACAAGCTTTGCTGCAGCTGTTTTGAGGGATGCAGCCTGTGCATCAAGGTGACAACAAGAGGCGAAGAAAGAAAACTACATAAAATGGAGAAATATACTTGTCATGCTTTTTTTCTCCTTTTTTAATCACAAGCCATTAATACTCATTCACATTTCACTGCTTTGCATTAAATTACAAGACACTGTTTCAAGAGAGGCGAGGTAAAATAAAATACTTAGTAGAGTGAAAACAGGTATAATCGCTGCAAACAGATAAAGCCTTGAAGGAGAAATATGGAACACCATATTGAGGATGAATAAAGGAGGAAAGGAGGCAGTCAGCTGCCACTCACCTGGGCTGCCAGATGTTCCTGGAATTCCATGATAGCCTGCAAGGCCGTCGTCACCGGGTAAACCGCGTTGGCCTTTGATGCCCTTAATGTCTTCACCCGGTTCTCCCCTTAGCCCGGGTGCACCAGGTCGACCAGGACGTCCTGGGAAACCTTTGTCTCCACGTTCTCCAATGGCATCTGCTCCCTGTTGACATCAACCAGCACAATGGTTATACTGTAGGAAAATCATTTTTCATGAGGGCATATGAACAAAAAGGAAAGAGATAATGTCAGTTTAGATGAAACCCTAATGCACACACTAAGTCCCTGAAATGAACAGTATATGATGAGTATGTATAATATGAAACTCATTATGGAGATAACTGGTCGACTCACTGGAAGACCTTGGGTCCCGGGAATACCAGGCAAACCATCTCGACCTGGAGCACCCAGAACTCCCGACTCGCCATTTTGCCCAGGATCCCCTGGGTCTCCAGAATATCCTGTAGTGATCACACACACACACATGCATAGACATATACATAAAATCATGTATTAATACACACATACAATCCAACACAGACACACACAGCAGAAGTAATTGTTTTGGGACATCTGAAATGAGGTGAAATAACAGGTACAATGCACCTTTCTGTGTAGCCACACGCGTGTCCCCTTTTTGACCTTTTGGGCCTTGCAAACCACTGAGTCCACTGGGTCCCTGCAAGACAACACAGAAGAGTCTGACGAAACAGAAAAGGGCTTTAAATGAACAAAAAGAAATTAAGATGATCTGACTTGATTATTCTTACAGGGAATCCGTCCTCTCCTCTGGGACCTGGGTCTCCTATATCCCCCTCCTGACCAAACTCTCCGGTCATCCCAGGATCCCCACGGTCACCAGCAGGGCCAGGTGGCCCCGGTATAGAGTTTACAGTGGTGCATTCACATTTCCCATGATCACCTAAATGCACACACCATTGCACCCACAGGTCAGCAAAACACTGTATTACTTAGTATATTAATTGACTACACAGGGCAAATTAAATGGAGGATTAAGTAGCTACAGAGAACTGTAGCTTTCTGTTTTATTAACCAGTAATCCATCATGATGTCAACAACCCCCTAGTGTGAACAAGTATGACTGCAGCACCTTTTATTCCTTTAAAGCCTGCATTGCCGGGCCTGCCTCTCCCGCCGGGAGGCCCCTTGAAGTACTCAGACCCTGGAGACATACAGAAATAAAATAAAGATACAGACATTCAACAACTCATAAACAAGAAAACAAAGGAAGATAAAATATTTAAAACCTCAGTCTAAAAGTATTCCATCAAATGCAAACTCACTCAGCCACTCACTCACTCACTCACTCACTCACTCACATGTTCCTTTCTGTCCTTTAGGGCCCCTGATCCCTGGGCGCCCACTGATGCCTGGGGGTCCTGCACTGACAGCAGGGCGTCCTGGTTCCCCTTGTTTGCCCTTCTCTCCTGCTTCCCCCTTTATACCGAATGGCCCAAAGAAAACCCACACTGACAGACACAAAAGGAAGTTTAAAAGGACATTTTAATTTTTGGCATTTGGCTTAAACCTCTGACTGTATCTCGTGAAAGTAACCAAAATGTTTTGTAAAATTTGTATTTTGTCAACAAAAGTGGTTGGAAATATTTTAATGCTATCTTATTTTGTATGTATTGCAATCCATACTCCTTTTATAAAATTACAAAGGGGAAAAAAAGAGTAATTGATGTTTTTGTATAAGAATCTAGAAAGAACCTCATGTACCAACAGGTGGTACTGTTATGAACAAGGTATCCAGGACTGGATTGTGAGATCTGTAGTTGACTTCAGGCTAATCTACATTATAATGAGACGGCTGATCACCCTCTGCAAACACACAAAGATGTATGTGCAGAGTTGTATTAATTATTGAATTATTAATTAGTCCTCCTGAAGAGGGATCCTTAATCTGTTTTGTGATTTTGTGATGAAACTGATCTAGTCTAATATACCAGTCCTTTACTTTTATATTGATGATCTATTTGAGTCTGTGGATGAATCTCGTTGTATAGCTTCAGTTTACAGACCTTGTTGCTGTGAGTCAGAGGCGGGGCGTCCTGGGGGTCCGGGGAGGCCTTGGTCTCCAACTGGGCCCCTCTCGCCTTGTGGACCGTCCTCACCAGGAAGACCGGTAGGACCAGCTTATCAAGCATAATTAAAAGAAACAATTATTAAAGGTTACTTCAAGCAGCAGACACCTGATCCTCATACATCACTGACTCTGCCTGTAACTGCTTTAATCCTTTTTTTACGTAGCTCTCCAACAGATTATATATGAAGAGTTTGAATTGTTGTATCCTCATTTACATAATAATTGTGAGTTATGTTTGTTTAATGAGAAGCTCTATTGTTCCTGAGATTCATGTGCTATCTAGAACAACTGAGTTTTGCTCAACTTCTGTAATGACATAAATGTCCCTGTTTCACTTCACGTCTGCAACATTTGTCAGAGGGTATGTTACCACTTGTCAGGCAGCGGGTTTCGTTATCAAACACTTCTCTTTCCTACTGGCCATCTGACAGTCATCTGGTATTAATCAACATACCCCCTGAAGACCAAGGCCATCCTGATGAAATCAGTTCTCCCGCGTCACCTCTGTCTCCCTGAAACACAGTAATATCATGCTTTAAGCATTCAGTGGCTGGACTTTCACATGTCATTTTAACGTGGGTCATGAGTATAAAGATCAGATGAGACTGGATGGGATCACACCGGATGTGCACCCATTTCTTATAAATCATTGAGACACATATCCTGCTGTTGTTATCTGTATCTGTTGTATCATATATTGTCTTCCGTTTTTAATCTGGTTTCTATCCCTATGTCATCTCTTACAGCTCTGTTGTCAAAGATTTTGAAGTAGCATAACATTAACCATGTTAATTTCTGAATTACTAACAATATTAAAGTCCACTTGTACAGTCTATTCAGGATTTTTTCTAGTGTCTGTAAAAGAGTTTGAACTTGACCGGTCAGCTGTAATCTGACTCTGGGCCTCCACTAGCTACTCCATTAGCTTATTAGCAGAGAAGACACAAAATATCTAACTTGTAGGTATGAAGAGGAAAGGACTGGAACAAGTGGTCTTAAAGCTGTTAAAATCATCTCGTTCCAAACTGTCTGAAGCTATATAATGTTTACACTGAGTGAAATACTCAAACCAACCATGCTTATATTTATTTGATACATATTTCTACAAAATTCAGCCTGATATATTCAGTGGTTTTGGAAACTTTGGGATCTCCTGCATCTTGCAATGAATCCTGGTCTGACATCAAACTGATAATCAGTGATGGAGGAAGTATTCAGATGGTTAGATTGGCAAAAATAGTAATACTGCAATATAAAAATATTTCATTATAGGTAAAAATCCTGCACTGAAACTGCCACATAAGTATTATTAGCTAAATGTACTTAATGTATCAAGAGTAAACTACTTTTAATTAAGAAAAATGTATAATCAGAATCAAAATCAGATTTATTGCCAAGTAGGTTTTTGTATACACAAAGAATTTGCCCTGTGAAATTGGTGCATTAACATAGAGAAATAAAAAATAAAGATAAAAATAGACAAAATATACAAATATAAAAAGAGACAATTTGTAAAATATAACCATTATTTAGATAAATTATAGTGGAGTAGACGTGTAAAGTAACATGAGTTGGAGAGAATCTCAATGCAGTACATGTACTTAGTTACATTCCACTACTGCTGATAATTGTGCATTAATGAAGCTGTAAATTTGAGCGTGTATATTTCTCGTCTTATCTTTCTGTATATCACTTCAATAAGGGGTTAGATGCATAATCAGTGATGACAATCAAGTGCATTCTCACCTTAGGACCTTGCCTGCCATTTGGTCCTGGTTCGCCAGGATCCCCCTGAAAGAGAGTCAGCATCATTAAGTTAAAAAATGAGATTTAATGTGATAATACAATAATGATCTCATCTTACAAACATACCCTGAATCCAGGTCTCCCATCTGCACCAGATGCACCCTAGAACAGCATCCAAAACAACAGCAATCATATGAACTGAAGGACAGAGGGCAGTTTCTGGCTGAAATGTGCAGTGATGTGCCCATGCTCACCCGTGGTCCAGGGAATCCCATCACACCAGTTTCTCCTTTGTTGTCGGCCTGAAATAAACCAAACAAAAGAAAAGATAAGCTGATGAAATGATGAGGTGTGAATGTAAATGTAAGTCTGTGTATATATATGTATACATGTGAGAAAATGTGTATGATCGCATGTATGATGATACATACCGGATCTCCTCTTTCTCCTTTCAGACCTTTCTCTCCGAGAGGTCCCTATGATAATGACCGAAGAGGATATTATTGGCACATGTGTCAGTGTCCCTACACTCCTATTTATATCCCATATTTTAGAGACCATCTTTAAAGGCCATTATGGCAGGTTAATGAATAAAGATGTTTTGCTTATGTACTGACCGAGGGTCCGGAGAGGGGCTTAGTTTGTGGATGAGTAGAGTTTCCTGCCGGTCCTGGTAGTCCAATTTCCCCCTGTAGTGTAAGTCGGAAGTGCAACAGTTAGCTCAGAGTGAAACAAATCATCATCAAGATCCTTTATTCAGGTAAAAATACAAATACCACAGTTCCAACATACTCTATTACAAGTCCTGCTATAAAAATCCAACTTAGGTGAAAGTACAGAGCAAATTGTGCTTAAAGTATCAAAGTAAAAGTGCTTTTGCCACCACGACCAACATATATGACATTACTAGATTGTTATTACTGAAGCAGAACTACTGTTATTCTACTCGAGGTGAAGCTAGTTAACTATTCTATTTACAGCTAACTAGCTTAGCCTACTGGTTCCCACCCTTGGGCTCGGGAACCTCCAAAGGGTCTCGAGATAAATCTGAGGAGTCAGGAGATGATTGAAAACAATTCTGCTACACAATCTATAAACCTTCCTAATATTCACACAAGTCACACTTCTATTATTATTATAGGTTTTATTGTTATATTCTGTTTTATTTTTTATATGCATCTCTGTCTCAGTCTGTTTCTCTCTCTCTCTCTCTCTCTCTCTCTCTCAGTGTCTCTCTTTGTCTCTCTCCCGCTCTCTACCCAACCGGTTGAGGCAGAGGACAGGCCTCCTAGGCGGGTTCTGCTCGAGCCTTTCTGCCAAGTTTTTCCTTTTCTGCCACTGTAGCCAAGTGCTTGCTCATGACTGCTGGGTCACTGTAGATAATAAAGAGTACGGTCTAGACCTGCTCTAGTGTCCTGAGATCACTTCTGTTATGATTTGGTGCTATATTTAAAATTAAAATCTACTGAAATTGAAATTTCTCTATCTCTTTTAAACAGTTATTCAAATGAAACCATCATTACAGACATTTAGAGAGAAAATGTTTCTTTAGTGGAACTGCTAACAATTCATAGACATCTGTGACAAGGGGTCCAACTAGAAGCTTTTGTTTGTAATATGTCACAAGCCCAATTGGTTGGAAACTATTAGTACGTAACTGTAACTATAGCTGTCAGATAAATGTAGTAAAAAGTACATTATTTTCCACAGAAAACCAAGTGAACTTGACTAATGTGTTAGCAATGCATTTAACAAACATGGTCACTCACTTGGTCTCCTTTAAGTCCCTTAAGCACTTTGGTCATAGTGCCCTGCCCAGAAAAAGAAACAGCACTTGAAGATGAATTCATAAATTCAAGTTCCTACCTGATAACATTTCATGCAGTATTTGCACAGTAGTACATCAAATGTCTATTATTTTACATCAAAAATACATTGTTGCTTTACCTTTGGTCCACGGGGACCTGGAGGCCCTGGGGGACCCTAAAAGAGGAAACAATCAGGATCCCAATAAGCACTTTGCATCATAATGGATTGAACTTCCAAACTAATATTAAAATTGCTCACTCACATACACACACGTACCTTTGGTCCTATGAAGCCGTTGTTACCCGGCCATCCTCGGATTCCTGCACGCCCCTGACAAAAATTAAAGAAAGTAGAAGAGAACATTTGCAAAAGAGAAACTTGAGTGAAATTGAGATAAAGATGGTTGGGAAGAAGGAAATGCATTACTTAGTACAAATCTGACATGACAACGCCACGTGTAACGACCAATATCTTCACGTGTCTATGATTTATAACATATACAGTAATTGTGTCTTACGGTTGCTCCGTTGACCCCTGGTGTTCCTGGATCTCCCTGTGAAGAGATGGTCAATGATTCATGAAGTTAATGATATTTATATAACAATATAAAGTTGTAAATACAATTTAATGAAGCCAGGAGTTCTTAAGAACAAAAGTCAGGTTTGGTGTACACTCGTCTTCCTCACCCTGAAACGTTCCATGTACACTCTCAGCTCCAGCGAGTCTCCCTTGTCTCCCTTCCTGCCTAGTTGTCCCTGAGAGATGACAAAAAGAAGTCAGTAATGGTCACTTATAGTAAATCAAACTCAGTATCCATACAGGCTTGGAGTTGCACCTACAGGAATACCAGGTGAGCCACTATAGCCGGGTTGCCCCGGAGACCCTGATTCTCCATGTGTCCCGTTACAGCCGTCTGCCCCTGGTTTGCCCCTGGGCCCATGTTGTCCTGGGTGGCCCTGCAGAGCAAATGTTAAATCAGTCAGAAGACATCACAAGCAGACTCAGCACAATGTTCACTGAGCTTCTACTGCGTTCATCCAGACTGCTGGATAGACTTACCGGAATACCATCATTTCCAGAAAACCCTGGAACGCCTGTCATTCCCTGTTGAGCCACAGGAATAACACATTAAACAAGAGGACAAACAGGAATGTTGTGATTTTTAACAATTAACAGACAAAAAAATAGAAGAATATTTTACCACATTTCCTTTAGGGCCTATGATACCACCATGGCCATGGTCACCTTTCTGCCCCTTTGGTCCTTGAATGCCTGGTTCACCTGGTCTCCCTGAAGGCCCCTGGGGGCCCTGAGGACCAAGAGCCCCAGGGTGACCCTGAGATTGAGAAGGTAGAAAAAACAATGAGTTGATCAACTTCAAGTGTCAAGTGTTCAATACATCCAATAAACTGCCACCTGCTGCACATTGGTGCATATACTTACATTACTTACAGTTTAGAGCATTCATTATTTGAACCAATTATCATTTGATGTCTATTCATCAATAAGGTCATTAATGTTAGGAGTTTAACAAAAGCTAAGCTAGCATTGGTGATATCTGGGGTATCAAAATAATCAAACTTACCTGTTGAAAATAGAGAAGAGAGAATTTGAAAATAGGACACATGTTATAAACAGGTGAGAACCAAAGTATCACAACAATGCAACAAGCTGTATAAACCACAACCTATCAATCAAAAACATTTCACATATTTTTACTAACTACTGTTTGTATTTTTTGATGGCAGCACAAGGGGGAGACAAACACCTTTTTTTCCCAGTGAAGTTCTCTCCTTCAGCTTTCTACACCCATCTAGTGGTCAAACAGTGTACCTACAAACGTCTACACAGCTGCTAGATAAAAACTACTCTGGGACAAACAAAAGATGCAATACAACTAAATACATACATGTGGACATACAGAAACATATCATACATTTTCTCTGCCTCTGAACTCCTTTCACCCTCAACTTTTTAGCAACAGAAAGAGCAGACACAATGAGAGATTCGTACACACACATTACTTAATATATTCTTGTTTTGGAATCTGCCTGGATACAGCTGAAAGACCTTCTAAGATCCATAAACACACACTCAAATTTATTCCAAGACATGCCAGAAAGAGCAGTGAGGAGATTAGGTTAAGGCAGATAAAGCCAGACTCCACTGTCAAATATCTCCTTAATGGAAAAAAGACACTCGGTGTGGCCAAGCATGCTTTAAAGGCAAAGTAAAGGGCTGTTTAAAGAGGGTTTTCATTGCTGTCTATTTGAAACTGCAGACAGCCTCCTAATCTACAAAGCTAAATATAACAATTTGATTATGATACTCAAAGTGATGAAAGATAGAAGACAGGCAGGCAGATAGGAAGGAGGGAAAATGGTCTGGCAGTAGCAGAAGTATGTTTCTGTTCTCCAGGCAATTCCTGTGCTACATTGTTAAACATCTAATTTTTATACTCCTAATAAAGAGATTGATTTGCGATGTGTCTGCAGACTCGGCAGTAAAGTGTTTGTCCTTTCTTCACCACAACTGCTGCTGCCTGTCGACGAGGAGAACAGCAGGATGCAAACAAACACACTCTGATGAAAGGTAATGAATATTGAGGAGGTATTCAGTACAGGTGAGGTGTGTGAGGGCAAAGAGAACAAAGGCACACATGTATCCCTGAAACAGGATGTTGTGTGTGGCATTTACATCTCAGAGAGGGACTGGACACAGCCAAGCGAGACACTCGAGGGGGACAGAGAGTCAATGAGGGGAATGGAATAATACGAGGACATCACTTTTACAAGGGTCGAAAAACACGTGAGGGCGAAGACACCCTGGGAATTGGGTGTGTTTGTATGGTCAGGCAGTTCACAGGGTCAGTAAGTGGTGACCTCTGAGGTTTCAGGGCCTGACAGTGTTCCTATGAGAACCAACAAACAGAGTGATGTTTGTCCCCACACAGAAACTCTGCGCCTTGTTATATGAAGCAAAAGCCAAGGATCTCAAAGGAATTAATAAAACTGCAGGGAGCCTAAACAATGTCAAACAACAATTTAAACAAGCTAACAGACTAATCAGATTCAGATAGTGCGAGATAAAACCTCAGCTGAACTTGTACAACTAATGGCTAGATGTGTGTGCATTTGTACATACAGCCTGCGTGTGTGTGTCCGTGTGGTAGTCAGAGCTTTGTCTATCGGTGGCTTTTTAGAACAGAAGGTTTGTGTTTTGTCTTCAATCTCGACCTTGCAGCTGTTGCCCATAGAGCAGACAACAGACGGACAACAGCCCTGTCAAAACAACTCAAACTCCACATGAACAACAGTTGGTGTGTTATACAGTGTGCGCTGTGAATTTTTACATTTATAGACGGAAACAGCCATTATGATAACATCAGTGTATCTTGCTATGGTGACAGTATCACCACACTGGTGATTCTGCAATACACAAGACAGTCATTTATGATAAATCATGGTGTCTAACTTTTAATCTTGGTACATATCTGAAGGAAACTAGAATTGCCGCCCTGTGGTTTTATGCCTCTGCCAACCAGTACAATTACAGTTTACATCCGTGTGTGTTCAGACTCATTTAATATAGTGGAGACTATGAAGGAATTTAATAAAAAATATTTTTTTAAATGGAAGGTATCACTATATTTATGATACATATGTATGATTCCAGTGAATATACATATTTAAACTGAATAATGAAGAACTTTCATTGACTAAACAGGTACATGTGTACTTGTAAAGAGGGATTCTTCTTGTCACTTTTAGATGCAAAGCTTTTCTGTAGGTGTAACTCTCTTACCCAGGATAAGATTAACTAGGCGGCATACTGTGTTACTTATTGTTTACTCATTGTGTCATCCCAGTCAACATGTGTGTGAAATCTTGAATCGGACAATTTCATTTTTAAATTATGGCTAAAAACCTATCCACCTTCGAACTTTGAGTCAATAGTGTCACTAATTCAGTGTTGACCAACTGTGAAATATTGTCATCAATTCTTGAGTTATGGTGTTGAAAAATGGCCCTAAAGGACATTACAATGTCACAGTGAAGTTGACCTTTGACCTTTTGGGTAAAACACCTCATTACTTCATGGTTGTATATGGTTACAACTGTGTGAAATCAAATCTTCTGTTATGACTAAAAACATGTGGGTCAAGGTCATTTTGAGGTCACAGAGACTTTTGACCTTTGAGTCAAAAGTGTCACCACTTCATTGTCGGACCAACTGTGAAATATGGTCATCAATTCAAGAGTGAAAACACAACCTAACATGGAGAGTAAAGCAGGAATTACAGCATATACAGTACAGAGCCACTGCATTATAAAGAGGTCTCAGTACTGCAGAGTTTTATAGACAACTGAGATGAAACAGTGCATGTTAGACTGCATGGGGATTTGCATGGGGGTCACAGACAGAAACAAGAGTCTACAGCCCATCCGCTACGTGAGGCTACACTTAGATGCAGTGCTGCTTAGAGCTAAATGCTAACGTCAGCTCTCTGACATGCTCACAATGACAGTGCTAAAATGTTGATGTTTAGCAGGTATAATGTTTGCCAAGCTCAAAATCTTTGTTTAGTGTGTTAGCATGCTGCTAATACAGCTGAGGCTGCTGGGAACACCAACAACCAAAATGATCAAGATTCATCCTTAGGGGACAATGAATGGACCAAAGTGATGGACCTACCAACCAACTAAACAACTTAAAATGTGCAGTCATTAAAATGTTAAAACAGTCATAAACTGACAACCAGAAAGCAGAATACCAGCTCTGACAACACAATATTGATGTCACTGTATCCTAACAAGAAACTAAATTTGTTAAGTGCTAAATCAAAACAGAAGTTATCTCAGTTATCTCAAAATTATTTACAAATTATTTACTTTCAGTGTAGGTTTTTTGTAGTTTTTCTTCAGTAATAATTTGCACATTCTTGTCAAGGTTACAGATGCAATTCAAAGCTTAGATTTGAAAGGAAATTGACGCCTGTTTTATTTGCCATGAAACTCACGTTTCTCATGGTGGAAAAAATGCCCTCTGGCATGTAACTGTACCACTACACACCTACAAGTGTAAATCATCATCCAACATCCTTTCCAAATTAATCAAGCGGACTCATTTTCTGAAAGAGAAATCAAAGTAATAATTTTGCTATAATTCACATAGAGGGAGAAGTAAAATATACAGTGCCATAGGGGAGGAGTGCAGTGAGCTGGAATGAAGTGTTGTAATACAAAAGTGCCTTATTTGTGAAAGAAAAAAAAAATGTGTGTGTGTGTGTGTGTGTGTGTGTGTGTGTGTGTGTGTGTAGGTATGTAAGTGCATAAGAGATCTTTGTCTAGAGCACTTGCATGGTACACTATGTGCACTGCTCTGTATCTTTCTGCATGGCTTAAACTGATAAATACTAGTCTCCTCTCATAGCTGATAACAGGGAAGAAGTTTCTTAGTGCATACTTTGTGTTTGTGTGTGTGTGTGTGTGTGTGTGTGTGTGTGTGTGTGTGTTTGTGTATGGAGCACCAACAGCTACAAATCCTGGCTCTATTCTAAACGAAATACGGGTACAGCAGGAAACCAATTTTGTCATGAAAACACTAATGGCTCCCATGTGTAACTTTGGTTCTCACAGTAAGGTACAAAATACTAATAGTTCCTTATTGGTTTAGGAAAACATTTATTTGACCCAAAATCACAGTTAGTTAAGGCCCTGCCCTTGTACACCACCACAGGGACTTGGATCCCTATGATGGCTGGGCTTCTGGTTAGACCCCATCAAATACAATGCATTACTGGGTGGGAAGCCAGTGAGGGCAATCAACCAGCAACCCAGTCTGGTTAGTCCATTAAGCCTGTGTCCAGGTCAAGAGTGGGAGTCATCAGGAAGAAGGTGCAAGTGTGACTGATTATTCCACACTGAAAAAAAGGAAAATAAACTTCCCGTCCATTCATTAGGGACAAAATCTATACAATCTAATGCAATCCAGCACAACACATATTCTACCTTTACAAAGTTTACAATGTTCAGTTGAGTTCTTAGCATTCAACAATTTCTGTAGCTTTTTATTCACACCCACTTCATGCTGAGATCTGCCAGGTGAGAAATATGCAGGGTTTTAACCTCTCTCTCAAGCCTTCTGGTTTAATTCACATGACCTCTGTTACTTTTCACGTGTACAAATGAGAGCAGCTCTGAGACTAATTGTCCTAACACGTGTGCTCCTATCCCCATTTTGATGACAGACAGTGTCCAGACTTCAAAACATGTAGAAGGGCTACAATAATTTTTTGCCTTAAGACATGGTTAGACAACACATTAGTTAGTTAGT